TGCTGCGACTTTTCTTTTGTGGCGGTCGGGGTGGATGAATCTTACCACCTACCCCTCTCCCCGTTTCAGCTAGTGGTGTTAGGCGGAGGGGGCTGAGATCCCGTCTCTCTTGATCTCGGCTAGTGGTGTTAGACGGGCTCGGGAGGTGCGGGTGGGGTTTGGTTGGTCGCTTTTTATTCGGTTGGAGGTGGGTCGATTCTGGGATTGGCTCCGGTTCCAGTTTCGGCTACTGTATAGGCGGTTGAGCAATTTTGGTAGTGGCTTCCCGGGCTGGGACTCTTTCTTGTGTCGATTGATCACTGCTGGTTGGGCCTGCTCGTTTTCTGAGGAAGGGATGTTCTCTATTTTATTTATGTGTTGTTTTTGTTTTGTGTTTGTTCGTTTCTGTGTCTGTGTTGTACTTGTGTTTTAAGTTTGGGCTGTTAGCCTCTGTGAGACCGAGTGTCGACTTTATTATCCTGTGGGGGTCCGACACTCGGGTATTACCCTGTGAGGGTCGTTGTGTTGTTTTTTTGTATTTTTTAGTGTTTTTGAGTATTACCCAATTGGGGTCGGTTCTAGGCGGTCTTTGCCTTGTCCTCCCACTTTTTCAGTTGTTGGCTGGTTGTATTCAGCCGTTGGCTGTTTGTATTCAGCTGGTGGCTGCTTTGCACATTTGTGCGTTTCTTAATATAATATCTTTATCGTTCCGGTAAAAAAAGAAGTATTATTTGTTTTATTTTATATATATTGTTGTCAAAATTAAATACAATAATTCATTTATTTGCAGTTAATACAATCTATATATAATAAGAATTAACATTTTCCAAAAATGGCAGGCCAACTGCAGGTCAAATCCAGTCAACATTAAATACTTACTAATTTGGGAATTTTTTTTCTGTAAAATCGGGCAGCACTTAATGTTGCCTTTAATTTGTGGGATTAGTTCATTTCAAGTTGAATTTTCGGCTGATTTGCGTCAATTTGCGGCTGATTAATTTTTTTCAATCTACGGCTAATTAATTTTTTTCCCTAAATTTGTGGCACTGCTGGTAGTGGTTCAATTCAATTTTGAAAATGAGTATAATTATTTTGAATTGCAACTGTAATGTTTATGTTTAAAGTTAATATATTATTTTTTTTCAAAATCGATCAACATATAGGCCTTGTTTGTTTAATAGCTTTTTGAGAAAAAAATTAGCTTTTTGAGGAGTTCAGCTTTTTCATTTGGTCAAAACAGCTCAAGTTGATGTTTGGTGAAATGACTTTTTGTTTCAGCTTATTGGGTGAATAAGCTGAAAATGAAAAAGTTGCAATTCAGAGCGTCTTGCATTAGTGGATTGGATAAATTTATCAATTATTTCTTTAGTTCTGCACTAACTAATTTGGATAAATTATTCATTTATTATTTTTACTTTTGCATTCACCAATGAAGGAGGATTTGATGTTTTATTTTTTTTAATATTGAAAAATGCACATAATATAGCATTCAGCCGTTCAGTGTGGATGCTTCATTTCTTAATCTCCATTTTATAACACAAAACTGCTATTGGTTTGAAACCATTTATTTTTATGTTTAATTTATATTTTTATTTTATTTATTACTTTTAATATATAAAATTAAAAAAAAAATAAGAATAGTTATTATATCATAAATATTTCATGTAAATAAAAATAATTAAACGAATATAACCAATGTATATTTGTAAAAATAATTTTCAAGTTCATAATACCAATATATTTATATGAATCAATAAGCTACTTTTACCAAACATACTTTTGAAAACCGCTATTACTATCCGCTGGTCAAACCAGTTGATACAATCCGCTGGTCAAAACAGCTATTACACTCAGCTAAAAGCTAACCGCTGACTACCAAACAAGGCCATATATTGATTTGTCATTTTTCGAAAATCATCATTATAGTCACACAATATTTTTAAATATTTAAATTAAATTAATACTGCAAAACTTTATTTTTACTAATGAAAAATCACAACTTTGTTTATTAATATGATATAATATTCATATATTATTTTACTAAAGTTAATCGGACATAATTTTTTAACACTCGAATTCCAAATAATTCATTTATATTTGATAGACTAAAAAAAGGAAAATTTCCATGATTTATAGTACAACTGCAAATTAGATGCATATTTAATGCATCTTTAGAACTTCAGAGAACCGATAAAACATCTAATAAAACTAATGAAAATTCAAGTATGAAAACGAAGTTATTTGTGTAAAAAAATTTAACAGTCTTAAAAAATAATAAACCAATTGTTTTTTTTTTTTTTTTTTTTTTTTTT